ACACTCAAAGCACCGAGATAGTAGTGTTAGGTATACTTCCTATTTGCGCTCAAGATGCTTATATATTGATTAATTCGAGTTCTACACATTCATTCATGTCTACTAAATTTGCCGAGAAGTTAAATAGAGAACTAGAACCCTTTGGTTATTTATTATATGTGTCTACTCCATCTGGAAGAACTATGACTGTTGCATTTATTTTATAGAGCATGTGTTGTTGTGACTGAGAATGTTGAATTATTAGTTGATTTGATGACATTGAACATAACTCATTTCGATGTTATATTGGGAATGGATTGGTTAGTAGCAAATCATGCATCCGTTAATTGTGTTTCTAAAAGTGTCACTTTTAAACTCCCGAACCAAGTCGAGGTTACATTTCAGGGTAAATGAGTAATGTCCTCACCTTACTTGATTTCATCCATGAAAGCATATAAGTTAATTCAAAAAGAATGTCAAGGTTATTTGTGTAGTGTACTAAGTAATCTGAATGGAAGTGTCGAATTGCATGATATCCCAGTTGTTAATGAATTCCCCGACATCTTCTTGAATGATTTTCCTGGATATTTGATTGATAGAGAGAGAATTTACTATTGATCTTATACCTCGAATACAACCTATTTCCAAACACCTTATAGGATGGCCTCAACCGAGCTTAAGGAGTTAAAAGTTCAGTTACAAGAATTGTTAGATAAGGGTTTTATTAGGCTAAGCACTTCAACTTGGGGAGAACCAGTTCTATTTGTTAAGAAAAATGATGGCACACTTCGTCTTTGTATTGATTATCGAGAACTAAATAAGTATCCATTGCTGAGGATTGATGATTTGTTTGATCAGTTATAGGGAGCACGAGTCTTTCCTAAAATTGATATCAGGTCGGGCTACCATCAGCTCAAGGTTAAAGCCGAGGATGTTGAGAAGACTGCTTTTCGGACAAGGTATAGTCACTACGAATATTTGGTAATGCCTTTTGGAGTAACCAATTCTCCTGCTGCATTTATGGATTTGATGAACAGAGTCTTTTAGCCATACTTGGACAAGTTTGTAGTTGTCTTTATTGATGATATATTGATCTATTCTAAGAGTAGAGATGAGCATGAGAACCATTTGAGACTTACCTTACAAATTTTGAGAGACAGAAAATTGTATGCTAAGCTTAGCACGTTTTCCATGTCAATTGAGCTCCATTTTCTTTCAGTTGAGCTCCATCTTCCTTGATTTCTTGACCCTCTATTCCTTATTCTTTCTCTAAAAATGAAGCTCTATTTTTTTGGGGCTTTTTGTGTTAAATAGCAGAAAGGGGAAGCTTGGATATGGCGGGAAAGACTTCAATTCCCTTCCAAATAATAGTTTAGGGGATAGCTCATCACATTCCGTTCAATTGTAGACGGAATGTGACGGCAGTGGCCAAATTGATCAAAATTTCAAAAGTTTGGGGGGCAAATTAATATTATTCAAAGTTTGGGTGTTGAATTAAAAAATGCATGAAAGTTTGGAAGGCAAAATGATATTTCTTCTAAATTTTCTTATAATTGAATTAACCCCATATTCGTGAATTGAATTTTCTTATAGATCAACTCTTAAATATTAATGAATCTGCAAAGAGAGAGAGGCAAAGAAGGAGATAGCGCAGGTTAAGGCAATAGTTTAGAACTTGAATGCTTCTAATTCAATGGTTCCAATTCGAGGTTGGATCAAGTTGGGATGCCTTCTTGCATCCTTACCCTAAACTAGGATGGTAAATGATCTGACCTAAGATGAGTTGAACTTTTGGGTGTTCAAATTTGTTTATTGAAAATTATAAACGAGTTTTTGAGCTTGGCTAATCAAATATTTGAGAAACTAGAATTTGGTTTGATCCAATTTGATTATATAAGCAGATAGAGATCCAATTTTATTATATAAGTAGATAGAGTTCAAGCTCAAGCTTGAGATTGAAAAAGAAAAAAAAAAACTCCAATTAATTTACTTATTAAGATAAAAAAAATAAAAAATTATGAGCAAAATATACAAGAATGCTTATATTAGTAATAAATTTCATCAATCAAATATGCAAATTTGCACAAGTACCAAATAAACACAAATAGAATATAAAATAGTTTATTGAAAATTTATTTGATATATCATTAAAATTAAATATATATATATATATATGTTCACGAGTCTTATCAAGCCGAATTTCGATTACTCGAGCTTGGCTCAATTAATAAAAGGCCCTAAAAATCAAGCTCAAATGAGCCGAGCTCGAGCTATTCTTCAACAGTTTGATTCATTTGCAGTTTTACCTTAAAACTTGTTGAGTTTTGCATTTTATTCATAAAATTCAAACCTGAACTATTAAAAGCATCCCAAACCTGCCTATTAGGGTTGGGTTGGGGATGCTTGAAAAATAAAAAATTAAAAAAAAACTAACCGTGTAGGAACAAAATTGTTTATTTAATTGCTATCAATCTGGACCATTTTCATTACATTGAGGCCCTGGTTGTTTTTCTGTTTTCATGTAAAATGATTGTGTCCAATTTTTTATTTTTTATTTTCAGTGTTCGATTAACGGTTAAAAATATTTTTATGACAAAAAACTAAATAAAGAATCAATCATGGAGTAAATTTTAAAAGAAAAAAATAAAATAAAATCATATTCATACATAATTTTCGTGTAGAATTGAACACAAATGATGTGGTAATGTCACTCTTACAACTATGAACTATAGCAATGCGAATTTTAATTTTCAATGAGTAGATATAATGTAATAAATCATTATATATAGATTTTTTGTATACAAATCTTCATTTGTTTATCATTAATATTAAGAATAAAATAAGAAGGGATTTTTAGTTTAAGATCCCTAGTAAACAGTGTGTTTGGTTTCAGTTTTTTGAATTCAATTTTTTGAAAATTGAGTTTTTTGTTTTTTGTATTTTTTTTTGTTTTTAGTGAATATTTTTTAAAATTTAAGCAATTTTTAAACTTTTTTAGATGCATCTTACTTAGATGTATCTAAATAATAAAATATTTGTAAAAAAAATATTTTAAAAAATTAATAAATACACATAAATACACACAAATATTTGTTTTTCTGTTTATATATATATATATATAACTTGTATTTTTTGAGTCATTTCATCAAAATTTGTAAAGCAAGATCCATAATGAATATAAAATTCTAAAAAAACAAGGTTGATGAAATTTCACTGACCTAACATAGGTCAGTGAAGTTTTAGTTGGTCAGTGTAATTTGGATGACCAAGTTAGTAAAATGTTATTGACTTAAGCCAGTGAAATTTCGATGACCAATCAGTGAGTCAGTGAAATTTCATGATTTTTTTATTTTTTTTTTTAGAATTTCATATTACTCATCGATCTTGTTTGAAAGATCTTGTCAAAAGGATTCTAAAAATATAAATTTAACAAAAAATGGAAATGTAAATAAAAAGTTATAAAATTTTGAAATCACTTAAACAATAAAAGACCTAATTAACCTACTAAAATAATAACATTGAGGGATCTTAACTAGGAAGGAAAATTATCTTGAACCTCTCCTACTAGCCAAACTATATGGAAGATGTATCACTAATTTTCTGATGATTGAATGTAACAAAAATAATAATTCAAAAACTTAATTCCAATAACTTAATCATAACATATGTATATGAATAGGTGTATATATATATATATATAGAGAGAGAGAGAGAGAGAGAGAGCAAAACGATGTTCAATGTGTATGAAAATAGTAAAACTTCTTTTTTTGTTTTTGTTTTGTTTTGTTTTGTTTTGATCAGTAAAAGAAAGAGACCTTAATTAATATTCAACAACGATTACATCAATAAAGGGATGACAGGAAGAAATAGAGCTATGCAAACTCATCCACAAGAGTTGGTGAGAAACCAACCAAAAGCCAGAGCACAAACAGCAACAGGGCAGCAAACAAAGGAAGGCTTAAGGCTTAAACAACAAAAACTTTCAGACTCCCTTCCAACACAGGAGACCACCAACCTGCAATCAACAACAATATCCTGCAGCACACCTTACTTATAAGCACAGCAGACCTCACTCCAAAGATCAAGACCATCTGAACCTCCACCAATACATACTCTGATCTGATTAAGATTGAAAACAAAATCACTCAGAGAGTAATGAAGATCTCTGCAAGAGGCTTTGAATCATAAAGCAACTTTGATTTTTATAACCTCACACAAATCCCAAGTTACATGTCTGGCATCCCTAAATACACCGTCATTCCTAAGTTTCCATATGGACCACGAAGTAGCAAGGGGAATAATTCTCCTAATCTTTTTTTTCAATTTTCTTCATAGGCTGACCCTCCCACCAGAGTAGTATCAACCATGACACTTGATATTTATCTTGAGTAGTATCAACCGTGATGAGGGGGAAAAAAGAAGTTACTAATTTTTTAAATGTAGATCATTTTACGCATTACGACTAACATATTTTACTTACTTTTCATCAACCAAATAACCAAATCTAGATTTAAAAAAAAATAAATAAATAAAATCAAAAAATTTAAGCAAAACAAAATGGAGCCTAAATCAAATTCAAAAGCACTCATCCTCTATAACTATAACATTAGTGTAGTGAAAAACTGAGCGAGTTCATTGCATTCAAAATATCCTTTTGATGCATAAAAGCATCTCCACCCAAACTTTCAAATTTGGTTATGCCCATGTTTTTTGAAGGCGTGGATGGCAAATTGATATTTGTCAATTTGACATTCTTGCTCTCTAGCGCTCCAGCCGATACGCCAAATGACTCTACTGTTAAAATTTGAATATTTGACCATTGCTACTTGATTGATTCAAAAAAAACAAAAAAAAAAAAAAAGAAAAAGAAAAAGAAAAACATCAAGTATCAGCATGCCAAAATTGACATGCTCAACAACATCCCTTCAAATCCAAGTCAGCTTTTGAAGTGTGGGGTGGAGCAGCATTTTGGAGGCTATCATTACCGTTGGCACACCGGGGTAAAGAAATTTGAATAATGATGAGCAGCAAACATGAAATGAGAAAGTATGGTAATTGATAGAATAAAGTACAGTATGATGTAAAAGAAGAAAAATACATATATAAACAAAATTATCTGTTGCTAGGCTTATAAAATAGGCATAATCCATTTAGGTTGCAGCCAATTACTTTGAAGTGGGCAAGGCGTAGAGAATGAGATGCTATAATTTTCAAGATCAAATACATATAGGTCCCGGTCGTTTCCCTCTAGATAGTAGATAGAGTTGTGTTTGATCCCTGATTCGGCTGCAGAACAAGAGAAACTATTGCCAGTTATACAGAGAAAGAATGTTCGATCTCCTAAGCTGTCCACCTTTGTCCATAACAATCTTGAAAAATCCATTTTGTAAACTTCCATGTCCCTTATCTTCATAGTCATCCCTAGGTAAGACTTGACTACAATAAACAACTCTCCACACGAATCAACTAAATTCTCATCCAACCTTGATGTCCCTGGAATTGATGGATTTGGTGCCTTCTCTGACCCCAATTCTGTCACAACCAGATTAGAACCAACATCATCTACCGTAAGCAGAGTTCCATCTAAAGTAATGCCATAAATCTTTCCCCCACATACGGTAGCAGATCTGAAATATTCAGCAGATCTTAAATGTTGTTCGGTCCATTCATCATCACCCAGGTGACAAAACATGGCACTTGGTTTTTCTCGACAGACAAAAATGAGTGCACAGTTGGGATCGGTTGGGGGTGATGATAGAATGCAACAGAAGAACGGAAAGTATTGCAATGGTGGAAGCATAATCTTCTCCATTGAAACTGGATTCAACAAGAAACAATCATCGTATTCAAGATCGAGCAATACTAGCCATCCGTGAGAACATGTAACAATCATTTTGTCGCACAACTCTGGTATTCTTCCCATGACGTAGGTATCTTGTGATGTGTTAAAGAAGGTTTGAGTGGAGTACTTTCCATGCTCTCCATGATTGAAGACGAGCCAAGGACACGGTAGAGGAGGTGGAGGAAGTGAAATATGAGATCTTGTTACTGCCATTGGCATCTATCTAGGCACCAATACTACAATTTATTTAAATTTCTCAAATGAGCTCCCCTTAGCTTCCTGCCAATAACAGAAGCAACCATGAAAATTTATTATCTAACGCGAAAAGTACTTCTAACACTTTCAACTAGATATAACCTTGCTAGCATATTATATATAGATATAGAAGTAAAAATTTAAATGCTTGTTTCTGAAGCAGTATATCATTTATTAAATTGGTTAATAAGCTCAACTGGATAGAAAGCTAATGTTTGAAAGATTTTAAAGCATAACATGCTTGTTAAATAAACTAAGGTTTTGATTAATGATTTGCTGGTGAACATGAAGAGTTACCAAACATTGAAACGTCAAGTTTAGACTTTTATGCTACAACCAGAAGGCCATTATAACGTATAGGGTATAAATGACGAATAATACTATGCACCAATTGGTATATTAATTAGTATACTAACAAATGATGTGGCACAATTTTAGAAGTTATAGTCTTTGTAATTTGTATAATGGATGGGGTCATAATTTTAAAATGACAATGTCATAACATATATTGGTACACTAATTGGCATACTAATCGGTGCGAATAGCACCACCGATAAATGACTTCTTGTACTTTTATTTCACTTTAATTTCATGAAAAAACGATGACCACTCTCAAAATTGGCAAGTGTGTTACACCTTCCGTCAATTTAGATGAAAAATGTAACGGTTGCAATTTATCCCAAAACCACCAAGAGTCTCTTGGCGCATATTTGAACCATAAGATGGTGAAATGTTCTGAACTCAAATCATAAGGGAGTAAAATGAATTTTGCCGTAAAATACATCACAAATCCAACTTTCAATCAAATTCACGGGAAAAAACTACAAGTACATATGAAACTTGTGATATAAAATTATTCCAGTGATTCAATAGTGATGGCGATTCAAGAGAGTGTGACACTTCATCTCCTTTATTTATTATAACCTATGGGATCTTTTATTTTTCATTGAACCGTTGGGGTGAATGTTTTAAATGAAGGGAGTAAATGCAAATGTTGTACCAATTTATTTTTTACCAATGTTTAATATTAATGAAATGATATTTTAAGACAAATGGTAACAAGTGTTCTATAGGCATTGTTTAATGTTGGAAATTGTGTAAAATTTTTCTTGAAAAAGTATAAAAATATTGAAAATTGTGTTGATTTCAATAAAAATACATTTAAATTAGTGAAAAATATATTGCGTTAAACAAATATTGTCCTTTACTTTTACCTTAAGAACACTTGTTAGTAAGATCTTATTTTGAAGCTTAATGGGTCAACAAAACTATTGTGGATGAGGAGGTTTCCAGTGTGAAGTTAAAATCATTCCCAAAATGAAGAAAAAATGGGAGGAAAAAAAAAGTTCTACGCACAAATATCACAGCTAGGTAAGAATCACACTACCATTGAAACTACTAATACTAATAGGGAGTAGGTATGTTGATTGAAATTTTAGTTACCAGTTAGTAAAACAAAAATGGATGAATTGAGAAAACATTTTTATCAAAACGTAGAGAAGAGGGTATAGAAAATCTACCCCAGTTCAGGTCATTTAGAAGTAATGTATTGTCATCTTCAATGGCAAGTGATTAATACTATACAAGAGTTTTGTTAGTATCTTAATTCGATTCCTTTCAAAGGTAAATTGATATTATTATCAATACTCTTTTAAATATATCTTATGATATAGATATGCATGTTACATAAATATTTAAATTTCTTTAGCAATTTTGAAAAAAAAAATTATTCAAATTAATTTATGTAAATTAATGTCAAAAAATTTCATGTACTAATTAAAAAAAAAAAGTATTTTTGAGATGAGAATAGTACTTTTTATTTTATTTCTCAACCTTTTTGGCATATTTATTTTACGGTATTAAGTATCTAGCGCTTTTAATTTATTCCAATATGTATTGATACATGCATATATTAATTTTAAAGATCTTTGCTTCTATAATTTATAGAATTATAAATTATTTAGTTTTCTATTCTAACAAGATATTTATTTTTTAGTACTATATTTGTTTATTTTTTTACCTATTTTTAAAGGTGTTCAAGTATATCTTCGGAAGGATATGCTATTCATAAAAATAAAAAAAGACAAACCGCAGGTATCCTATTTGACAACAATAATACAACAACAATGGACAGAGAATTGACAGATTTTTCTTTTAGTTTTTACTTTTGGTTTTCATATCCGAAACTTTACTTCCTATTAAGTATGATTATATAATAAAAAATTCACAAATTCACAATCTACCTTAGGGCACATCAAATAGGGCAACTATTCTTCCATTAAAATCTGATATATGTATATATATATATATAGAGAGAGAGAGAGAGAGAGGACTCGCCGGATGTGGCTCTTTGCTGCTTCTTGTCGTGGCTGATTGGATGGCCACTACACACACTGACAATGCTTTGACTTGAGGCCCTATTTTGATCCAAAGCAAAGCATGATGTCTAGTATCATATATATAGAGTAGAAGTCTGGTGAGACTTGAAATATGGTAGTCCTAGCCTACGCTGGTTTGGTATTATGTGTTTATTTCCTCTTTTGATTAGGAATGGAAAAAAAATTAGAAAAAGGAAATAAGAAACAAGAGAGAAACCTTTCCATAATAGGATTAGACTTTCTTTTAATCCAAAAATTCTCTTCCATTAGGTCACTTAGACCTACGGGTGGCTATCAGCGTGATGGACTGTTCAACTGATTTTTTAAGGGTTGGAAAAAATATTTAATCCACAAGACGGGGTGATTCTATTTGCACCCAAAACATTATTAATTACGTCCAAGTAAAATTTTGAAATTTTAATTTTTATTATATCATAATATAAATTTACTAATAAGGACGACACATATTAAATCTTAAATTAAATTTTTTTTTTTTCATGATACACCCTAATCACTTATACATATTCTTCATTTTTTTTTCAGAGTTTCAATTGTTTTATCTTCTTCTTCCTCACTCCAAAACTCCAAATCATCCCACCAAAATTCACCATCATTATCAACGTCCTTGTTTCTTATTCTTGAAAGAATAGAAAACAGTTTGAACAAATCAAACAATGGATAAAAATAAGAATGAAAACTGTTTTTTTTAAACAACCCATTAAAGAAGAGATAAATATTCACTAAAATCAACATACATATCCTAGAAAGCCTAATGTTATACAAAAATTCTGAATGACACATTCATCATACATAAACCTATTCCTACAAATATAGAGAAAGTACAAAAAATCATTTCAGTTCATATCAAAATATGAGTTTACAGTAAAACATACAGAAAAACCCAATTTTTTTGACCATGACATAACAAGGATGCTTCTAACAAAACCCAAAATCACACGCCAATTTCTGGTTTTAACAAATCAAAGCCTCAACAAAGTAACTATGAAATCAATTTTTGGTTTCACCCTCTTGTTCTCCTTTGCCAGTGTTGTATTCCTTGTATCTGAACAAGATGAAAGGTTTTTCAAATAATTTTGAGTTTTTGACTTGGTTCATCTTTACACCAGTTCAAAGGAGTGCCTAAGGCAGAAAAGATAAGAGAATCCATTTGGTGTGGTTCACTCGATTGCAAATAGATGGTTCTGATAAATAAAATTTTGATATGATGTGGTCAAACTTAAAATTAGAAATAATATTAAGAAAATTGAATTTTTGATATGATGTGATACATCATTAAATGTTTGTCTCTGAAGCGGCATATCATTTATCGAATTGGTTAATAAGCTCAACTGGACCGAAAGCTAGTGTTTGAAAGATGTTAAAGCATAACATTCTTTTTAAATAAATTAAGGTTTTAATTAATGATTTGCTGTAAACATGAAGAGTTACCAAATATTGAAACATCAAGTTCAAACCCTTTTATTTATTTATTTTTTTTTTATTTTATGAGAACATGGGAAACATTATATTACATAATTTGGACATCAGATTAATTAAGCATATAAATTTATAACATAATGTAATCATACTTAAAAAAAAAATAACAAATCCTCACTTCATCTCAGAAACTGATCAGAAAGAAACTTCAATTTCTAACAATAGTATAACACTACACACTTGAGTGGTAAGGGAAAAAAAAATTAATGTAGGAAAATTTGTAAAAATTAGAGTTTAAGAAATATGCTTTTAACGAGATTCATACATTGAATAGTCTTTCTTTTCTTTTTTATTAGTTTACACCTGATCAATTTCTTTCTTTTCTTTTCTTTTCATACATTGAATAGCCTTTCTTTTCTTTTTTCTTTCTTAGAGTTTAAGAAATATGCTTTTTTATTCAATTTCTAACAATAGCATATTTGTTTTTTATAATTATATATATATATTTTTCTACAAGAACAACAATTCACAGAGAAATAGATGAGGTTAGATATTAGTATTAGAAAATTTTCTACTATACTTCTCCTGAAGTATGATTATAGTCACATAAATTCACAATCAACTCTGCAAATATATTAGACTTAGGGGACATGAATTAGGGCAACTATTCTTCCATTAAAATCTGATAGAGAGAGAGAGAAAGAGAGAGAGAGAAAGAGAGAGAGTGTGGACTCACCGGTCGTGGCTCTTTGCTGCTTGTTGTCGTGGCTGATTGGCTGCCCACTGCACACACCGATGATGCTCTGACTTTAGGCCCTTCAGAATGGGGCTTAATACTATTTTGATCCAAGGCTAAGCATGTTGTCTAGTCTTATATATATAGAGTCTGGCGAGGCTTCAAACATGGTAGTCCTAGCCGAGGGTGGTTTAGTATTCCGTGTTTGTTTCCTCTTTTGATTGGGAATGGAAAAAAAATTAGAAAAAGGAAAGAAGAAACAAGAAAGAAACCTTTCCTTCCATAACAGGGTTAGACTTTCTTCTTCTAGTCCAAGAACTGTCTTCCATTAGGTCACTTAAGCCTAAGGGTGGTTTTTAGGGGTTGGGTCTGGTCTGTTTCCATCGTAGCTGTAATTCTCCATTTGACATCGAAAATTGAAATGATAAACCCTAGAAATCAAAGCGTAGTCCACCATCGTCGACCTTGAAGTTGAAGATGACAACAGTGGATAATCAGAGAAATTCGTGGGTACATACCCTTCTAGATAAGGGGGCTGTGTAATCGGTTTGGGCTTTTGATGGACTGAGACAGAGTGCGAAGAGATCGAGTCTCCATTGAGTCCAACCCGGGACTGGATGACAGGACGAATCTGAGGCTTGGTTTGAACGAGTGCGAAGAGACGCTATTGAAGAGAGAGAGAGAGAGAGAGAAATCTGTCGAGAGAAAAATTAGGAAAATTTTGAAATTTTTTTGAACAATTTTGTTAGTGAAGCCTAAAGTCAGTTACAGTGACATTTAACTAATTTTAATGAAATTTTTTTGAAACTTTAGTCAGACAAATTTGTTTTCTTGAAGATAACAACTTAATAAAAATTTCATTATTTTTTTCTTTCGAAACTTCATAATCATCATGAATTATATTTAATAAATCTTAGAATTCTAAAAATGTAAATTTTATACAAAACAGAGATTTAAATAAAAAGTTATTGAATTTTAAGTTTTGAAATCTATTACAAAAATGAAAACGAAGTTTGTAGATATATTTGTCTGTTCCAAGCAATAAGGGTGTTTTTGTCGAAAAAATTGTAGCGTACTATAATAAGGCAGAAACTTTGAAGTTTTTGTTTCGCATCCTTAAACTAGAAAAAACTTATGAGGAGAGAGCTGGAAATAAAATTATCATTATTTAATTTGATAATAAACAAATGAATATGATGGGCCACTTTGATATCGTTATGACATGATACTCTCTGTTTGTCCTCTCCCACTTTAAATCTGAGCAGTGGCAACGTCAGAAAATTTTGTAAATAGAGTCATTTGAAAATTTTAAACTTCACAAATTTTAATAGATAAAAAAAATAAGCCAATTAACATTTGAATTTCTTGACATTCAGGTAAAATAAATTTTTAATAAAATATCATTGTTTTAACAAAAAAAATTAGTAAATAAACTTCTACAATAGTATTTGATGATGTATCATTTTTTGAATTATTCCATGATAAATTTATTGTCAATTTTGTCAAACACAATCTTTTCTTCTTTTTTTTTTTTAATTTTTAATTTTTTATATATATACTTGATCAAGTAACCATTCAACAATTGATCTCTCATTTTGGCTTGAGGATTGAGAAGAAAAATGTAATTGAAAATGACTAGGTTCCTAATGAATTTTGGTTTCTAATCAATGGGGTCACCTTGTTTGTTTGTTTGTTTTTTTTTTTTTTAATGGGATTAATTAGTTATCAATTAAATTTTTTTTACAAAAAATCTAAAGCTTTTTGGAAAGGTGATGGGTGGATGGCCACCTTCTTGTTGGCCCAGTCCCTGAATCTAGGGTTTTCGTAATAGAAAGAAAGAAAAAGAAGATGTAGGGTTTTCAAAAAAGAATAATAAAAAAGTGAGGGGTTGCAATCGGATGGTTTATAAGGGAAGTGTTGAGGTGGTGCACATGTGGTATCCCAAATGTTTAATTAATTTTAACATTGTGTTAATACTAAAATAATAATAATAATAATAATAATAATAATAATAATAATAACAACAACAGTATATCTAATTGTAGTTTCTTTTCGTGCCCCTTTCGAATACGATCACCCCTACTGTTCGGACTCTCGTGGTTCTGAATTTGATTTCACAAGTACAATGTGAAATAGATAAACACAAATGAGTTCAAATCCGGAAAATCTTTTGAAAAATCAATTTTGAATAAAAAATGTCAAAAATGGACTGCTTTGCCAGATTGCAGAGTTGCTACCAAAATATTTTTGACGAAATTTAAGAAACCCGAGAGGTCTCTGGACAACAAATAAATTTTGACAAATTAAGTGTGCAATTTTCTACAAATGTTCAGCCCCATATTTGCTGCTCAATCTGTGCCATCTCAGTTCTAAAGATTACTCCCGCAAATGCAAAATATTTGGATTTACCCTCCTTTTGAGGTCTATCAAAAGCGGAAGCGTTTCAATTCATCATCGAAAAAGTTCTTTCCAAGTTACAAGGGTGAAAATTGAAATTATCATCACAAGGAGGGAACGAGACTTTGATCAAAGCAGTGTTACAAGCAATTCCGTCCTATGCTATGACATGTTTCACTTTTCCAAAACGGTTTTGTGCAAGGTTGAATGCACATATTAGCAAGTTTTGGTGTGGAAGGGACCTGGAAGGAAGAGGGATTCATTGGATTAATTGGGGCTCTTTGACGCTATCTAAATTTCAAGGAGAGCTAGGCTTCAGAGACTTCAAAGCTTTTAATTTGGCCCTGTTATTATTGAAGGAGATACATGTGTTAGAGACAATTCCTCCTTGGGAGTGTGGCCGATTTTTGGTGATATTAAGAGATTGGCAACTCAAGGGTTGTTGCAGCTCCAATGGAGACCATGGTCTGCTAATAGAGTAGTCCATCGGGTGGCACATGCGTCGCTACATGGTCATCTTCCACAAGATTGGGTCCCAAACCCTCCAGTTGCTCTTGGTGCCTTGTTGGGTGCTGTTTAGTTGCTCTGTTTCTTTTATTTTCCTTGAACATTAATTCCCCTGTTCAAAAAAATAAAATAAAAAACCTTCTCCAAATTGAAATATGAACTAGAAAAAATTCTAACCCAAAATAGAATTATTTGAAGAACATACTAAAAAGTAACTTGTCTAACAAAACATATTTATCAAAAATGAAACCTGACTAGTTAAAAAAAAAAGAAAATTGACCAAATTTTATAAATTAAATAAAAATGTTTACAATTTCATATATTTAAAAAAGTTCAACTCACATAAGAGAAAAGAAAGACTTTACACTCTGTTTGTTCGGACATAAAATATTTATTGAAATTTTTTTTTTATATTTTTTAATATTTGGTACAATTAAAAATAAAAAATCATTGAAAAACAATTTCCCCTTTTTTAAATCGGAAAACATTTTTCGGAGAGTTCTCAAACTTTTCACGATCTCTCAATTTGTGGAGAAAACCACCAAGCTTCTCCTCCCACTGGTATGTTCTTTTTTCTTCTTCTTTTCTCTCTCTCTCTGGTCACACTAGCTCTTTCTTCATCTGATTTTGTAGATATATTGATACATTTGAATCTGAGAACAACACTCTCAGGTACAATTTTTTAGTAACTAATCTGTTTCAGATTTATATATTTCCGTTGCATTTGAGATATAATTTATTTATATAGTTGAGTTGCTTCAGATGTACATGTTTTTCTATACCTGTTTTATAGATGCATTTGGTTGATTTTTGGGTTTCATTCAAATATATATCAACAAACAATTGTTAGGGTTTTTTTGTAATTTGATTTTGGTTACATTCTTCAACTACAATTTATTTTTTGATTACTCCTAACATATCACCCGTGCTATGTGAAGGTGTTTTTGTAAATACAATTTCAATCTGTAATCCAATGTGCATATCTATTTAACTTTTATTTTACAATCACAAATTAGGAAAATAAGAAAAAAATAAACTGTTTCACTTATATAAAATGAATCTTATGCTCTGATTTATATAAGCAAACAAATATTTTTAGTGAGAAATTCTATAATCAATATATTTTTTTTTTCTTAATTTTAAACAATTAAAAAAATCTCCATTGATTAGTTTTCATTTAACTTTTATTGTACAATCCCACAAAATTTTGACTTTAAAAATAATTTTGTATAAAATTTTGAAACTTTCATAATATTTAACTTTAAAATAATTACAATCTCACATCGAGATAAGAAATAAAAAGTGAGTTATTTTGCTTATATAAAATGAATCTTAAACTTTCATTTAATATTATAGCATTGTGCAAGTTTCAATTTGAGATGGTTTAAATTTAAAAATAAAATTTAAAGATTTTAATTAATTCATTTTGTTGTAAATTGGCTGTCGTTTTCAGTTTGACTGATTTGGTTTAAACACAGTTTTAACTATTTTATCAAAATATATTACTTATATTTGTTTGAACAACTGAGATTGCTTAATTAGAAATGAACTTCTCATCCAAACAACTGTTAACTTTTATTTTATAATCCCATATTAGGAAAATAAGAAAAAAAATGAGTTGTTTCACTATATAAACCTTATGCTTTTATTTAATATTGTAGTGTTGTGTATGTTTTAGTTCAAGACAGTTTAAATGTTAAAATTTAAATAAAATTCAAAAGTTTTAATTAATTAATTTTTGTATAAGTTAGTTGGTCCTTTAACCTAGCCGATAAGGTGAACCGTTTTTGTTTTGACTAATTCGCTAGTTTAACTATGATTTTAACGGCTTTATCAAAATATATTGATTAAATTTGTTTGATTCGAAATAAATTAAAAATTGATTTAATTAAAGATTAAATGACTAAGATTGCTAGATTCGAAATAAACTTAGCCCAAACAATTGTTAACTTTTAAACAATTAAGAAAATCTCCATTGGCTAGCTTTCATTGAACTTTTATTTTATAATCCCACATCGAAAAAAAAAGAAAAAAGTGAATTGTTTCACTCACATAAAGTAAATCTTATACTCCTATTTATACAAGCAAAATGAGATTTTTAGTGAGAAAACCTTATGATCAATATCTCATACTAATTTTTTTGATTTTCTTAATTTTAAACAATTAAGAAAATCTCATTGGCTAACTTCTTTGGGATGACCTAAATAAGTGTATTTTTTGTCTTTTTACGAAAAGATGTGCAGAAAAGTAGAGAGATGATGTGATGAAAAAAAGATAAAAAAATAAATTATTTTTGAATTGCCAAACTTGACCTTAACTTTTATTTTACATAATATAAAAAAATTAAATATAATTATCATATTTTTATTAAATAATATATTATTTTATCTCTTACATAACATGCATGATATGATAGTTGTTATTTTAAGCCAAAAGCCCTCCTCCCAACCTCCTTTATCATTATCTGCTGCATTGATTGCTGATCTTTTACATAGAAAAAAAGTAGGGGTGACCATGGTCCGAATTGGGATAAAATCAAAACCAATCCGTTATTTGTGGTTTCTAAAAAATTGAAATCAATTCAATCTGTTTAAATCGTGGAACCAATCCAAACCAATTCATTTAAACACGGATTGAATCGGTTTAGGACCACGGATTCACATAATTAAATAACAAAAAAAAATATATAACATTTTAATTTTATAAAAACATAAACATAGTGTCAAACAAAAGCAATAAAACTAGATACACATTACACAAAGTAGATTTCTCTTTTGTATAAAAACTAAACATAGTATTAAACAAAAGAAATAAGAAAATTGATTTTAGACAAACAAAAGTAACAAAACTCCATGAACAAAAGCATAGCACTCTTATATGGAATAAGAAATGATATTATGTGAGAGTGTCTATAGTATAAATATATACTATTTGTATACAGTTCGGATTGGCTCCGGTCAGGATTGGTTCCAATCTGGAACCGTGGAGTTCAATCCAGAACTGATCCGTGGCTTACGGATTTTTAAATTTTCAATCCGAACCCGAACCACAGATTCAAAAAACTAATCCAAACTTACCAGATTGGACCGGACCGGACCGGATTACTGATTATACGAATTTCTTGCTCAGCCCTAGAAAAAAAAGAAGGTATACCTACCGTGGTTGTTAGGTTTTTGTTTTAAAATAATATTGTAAACGGTGATATTACATGTATTAATTAGTGTACCAACTAGTGTTATACCATTATTACTGGCCTCACTTATTATACAAATTACAAATACCCAAAATCTCTAAAATTATATTAGATCATCTGTTAATACACTAGTTAATATATTAATTGATACATATAACATTATTCTACTGTAAAATGGTCTGTACATTTTTTCATTAGTTATAGTTAAACTTGTTAGAGGGAGTACCAAAAAATTATTATTTTTTTATTATTATGAAAACACGTAAAAAAAAATGATTTAAATAAGTCACAACATCAATAAATTGACTTTTTTTTGCACTTTCAAAAGAGGCCGTAATAGATATAAATAGAAATCAAATTAAAATAATAAGATTTAAATTAAAAAAATTAAAATTTCAGAGGTTGATTTCTTAAAATGATCAAATTCTATAGTTTTTTTTTGGGTAAATTACACTTTAACCCCCTGTGGTTTGCCCCAAAAACACGAAGCCTCCCTATAGTTTCATTTGTAACACTTAAACCCCTAAACTTAATACTAAACTGTAATTTTGGACGGACGTAACAGAAGTAATAAAAAGTCATAAATGCCCTTAGATATTTTCCACTCAGACATTTTATTTGTATCACTTCGTATCTCTATTTCCATCTCTCTCTCTCTCTCTTTCTCCATCTTCTCTGGCAAGTTCACGTGGACCATCTTCCTCTCTTGCCCAACGCCGGATACCATGCTTACAGCTTCACTACCACCCTCATCCCCATCTCACAACCTCATCACCGATGACGGCTGGTCAAACACAGCAAACTGAAGCTTCTTAAATCAACTTGGAGGATGGAGTACCAGTCGTGGTGGTTGTTGATCCGTTTCTGGGCAGCGAGGAGGACTTCGGCTACGGCCGAGATCTGATCGGGACCTTCTAATAAGGGCTCGGTTTCTTGAGCTAAGACCGCGAAGTCTTGAGAGCCGTTGAAATCTTGGCCTTGCAAGAGTTTCTCGGCGATTCCGAGTAATTGTTTTGCTTTGGCTCTCCTAGGATAACTTTCTATTTTTTGCCGATTTTGATTTTGATTTTGATTTGGATTTTGATTTGGATTTGGGTGTTATTGGGAACTGAGAAAATGAGGGGGAGGGAGGGTTTTCTGATGTGTTCACTGGGAAAATAGGGGTGAAAGTGGTGAACTATAACACACACACACACACAACTGTATGTCTAACAGTACAGAATACACTAATGACACACCACTGTGAGGCATTCACCTGTTGTACATGTGGGATAGTAATTTGTTGCTTCTCTGGCAAGTTCACATGGAAAGAAAATCTAGAGAGAGAGACTCTTTACAACATGAGCTACACACCGTAAGCTTAACCAACCAAGAAACCAGACTGGACTAAACTCAAACACAACCACCACTATGCACGTTGAGACCACCAACACCAACGGCAAGTCTTTGCAACATGAACTTTCAGCATTCACCACTGGATTTTTTTTTTACCCTCTTCCTCACTTATTATTTTTTTTTTTTTCCTTTCTATGAAAGTAGCCATGGTTGTCCTAGTTTAAGCAGCCACCTACATACAACACCTCAAACCAAAAAAATATGAAGTTATGAAGTAAAAACTATTTCAAGTTCTAACTATTCTTTGCATTATAATTTGCAATTTTTATTGAACAATTCAAAAAAATAATTTCCTTTAATTCTAACTAGGTCCGATTCATTTGACAAATTTATTTGGAGATTTGCTTTTGAAGATTTGTGTGTATATATTAGCTGTAGGTATCGCCTTGGTTTGTTGGATGGAGCGAGTGATAAGGAAAGGGAAATGAGAAGGAGATGGAGGGTGGATGGTGGTGTGGAATTGCAGGCTAGTTTTGCTGTGCGGTGAGGAAGAAATCCTGAGATAATCTGGGCAATTTCAGAGGCCCCAATGTGTTTGTTGCATATTTATATAATGAGGGGAGAGAGAAATGGTGTTTTGGTCCAAAAGTGCAATGTTTTTGGCAGGAGAGAGTACTGCTTACACATTCATGCCCGTGAATCTCACGCTCTGGTTAAATAAACGGATCTGTCAAAAATTACAATTTGGTATTTAGTTTAGGAGTTTAAGTGTTACAAATAAAACTACAAAGGGATTCCGTGTTTTTGAGGCAAACCACAAGGGGTTAAATTATAACTTACCCTATTTTTTTTTATAAAATTTAAGGTTTTTTTTTTTTTTTTTTTTTTTTTTGGGCAAATATTCAAATTTATTTATTATATATATTTTAATACATTTTGGCAAGGCAGTGGCTTCCCTTTGGTCCCAGATCAGATTGGAGGGTGCTGTTGGGCTCGTGAGGCTTATCACGGGTACCGTTTTAATAATTTGAACCGTTCAATGTGTAAAACTCGTCGAGTACTATATGCTTGTAAAAAATCAAGTCGATTAAATATTGATCTCATCGGATTAGTTTTCTGTCAACCGTTTATTTTTCACCGTCCATTTTTTTTGGGTACAAAATTGATTTGATCATGTTACTATCGATATCCGATCAATGTGATTTTTTAAAAGCATATATTTCTCGACAAGTTCTAAATATTGAACAGTTCGAATTATCGAAATGAGACCCGTGATAAGCCCCCACAAGCCCAACAGTACCCTCCAAGTCCAGGTGTCAGGCTTGGATAGGACAGAATCAAGCGGCCCACCTCTACCGAGCCAATGATAACCAAAAAATGCTATAAACTCTAAATTTTCTACCAAATTAATAATTAAATATCTTACATAGATATGAGACTCACAAAATTGACATTTGATCATTTTTTTGGATAAATTACATTTAATCATTTATTTAATAAAAATTTTACAAATCTAACATCCATACAAAATATTTAGGAGTACTTACGTATAGGTCATAATAAGTAGACTTATTATCTAATAAGTCCTATGAAAAAATTGTCAAAAAAAAAACGTCACTAATTGTAAATTTTAACACAATTTATAAAAATTATGATAAAAAAAATCATTAATTGTCAATTTTTAGCAACGTATATAAAAAATTGTTACAAAAAAATTACTTTTAGAAACAATTTTACCAAAACTTATTTTCAATTAGACTTGATAAGAATTAAATCTAACTATTAAGATCTATTGATAATTTATCTAAATATTATTTAATCATTTATTTAATAAAAAATTTGATATCCTCACATTACTCGTGATAACCGTATCCCCCATTCAACAAACTTACATTGCGAGGAGCCTCATCAGAATCTCTCTCTCTCTCTCACTCACTCTCACTGGACTCAAACCTCTGTGCGTGTACGGACTTCAAACGTTGCAAAGTGAGTGGATCACAAACCCTACACACGCCTTTACCTTCATTCCATCTTCCTAATCCCAATATATAATCATCTTCTTCATACTTTTTACGATTCTCAAACGATTTTCATTCTTCGCTGCCGAATTTAGGTTTCTTGGTTCTGATTCTCTAATCATCATTCTATTTATCTTAAGCTTTTCATGTTTGTTTTTGATTGTCAATTTCCAAAAAAGAAAAAATTAGCAATTCGTTATACATCAACTATACATACTTGTATTTATATCACTTTTTTGTCTATTTGAAATTGTAGTATATATGAACTTCCATAGAATTGGTTTTCTGCATTTCATTTTCATGTTTCACAATTGGTTTAGATGATTTTTTTTGTGAACCAAGTGTCTAATGTGATAGTTGGTGTACTTGTGGAGTCAAATTAATCAATTAGTTGGTTAAAAGCTTGTTTGATTAACCATACGTGATGGTTAGTGTACTTGAGGAATTGGATTGATGAAGTGTCGGTTGCTGATTCACTGTATCATTATATATATATATATATATACTAGGAAGCAAGGACATGGACACACCAACACATCAATTTTCAGAAAATGAAAGACATGGCACGTGGAGGAAACATAAAATATATAATTTGACATATTTATTATATATCATATAAATATATCAAAATTTTAAAATGTGCATATTAAAATTATCCTGTCCATGGTTCACTTTATGTTCTGAAATTTATGTTGACATGAACTTCCATAGAATTGGTTTTCTGCATTTCGTTTTCTTGTTTCACAATTGGTTTAGATGATATTTTTTGTGAACCAAGTGTCTAATGTGATAGTTGGTGTACTTGTGGAGTCAAATTAATCAATTAGTTGGTTAAAAGCTTGTTTGATTAACCATACGTGATGGTTAGTGTACTTGAGGAATTGGATTGATGAAGTGTCGGTTGCTGATTCACTGTATCATTATATATATATATATATATACTAGGAAGCAAGGACATGGACACACCAACACATCAATTTTCAGAAAATGAAAGACATGGCACGTGGAGGAAACATAAAATATATAATTTGACATATTTATTATATATCATATAAATATATCAAAATTTTAAAATGTGCATATTAAAATTATCCTGTCCATGGTTCACACCACACAACATTAACTTTAAATTGAAACTTTAAGCATTTTTTTATTTCTTCCTACTTGATTGAGCTGTTAATGTAAAAGCTGATTCAATGGGGTGTACCTAATAGTGGGTGTGAATTCATTAGAACTTAAAACAATGTCATGTATATCAAAATTTTAAAATGTGTAGATTAAAATTATCCTGTCAATAGTTCACACCACACAGCATTAACTTTAAATTGAAACAAACCAAATAAGACCAACGAAAAAGTCAAGTGGGTGTGCAACACATGCCAGTTGCAATTTGAGGATGCTAACCGAGACCACAGTTGTGGATATCTCGGTTAGTAATTAAACTAAAAACTAAGCCTTGTTTTCGGGACACAAAAAAATAAGCAGCTAATTGACTTATTGGTTTATTTGACTTACTAAAATAAATTGTGTGTGTTCACAGGCAAACCTATCAAAGGAGTGGAGCCCAAGAAGAAAGGTAAGTTTCTCATATGTTATTTCTATAGGTTGCTCAAATTATGTGATACTGCAGAATGTATTCCACGGGAAGTGAGAAAAGAAGAGAAACATCAGAACAGATAACAAAACACATCTTTTTTGAACAAGTCATTCAAACTTCACAAACCATGCTACAAACACTTGTATTAAGTTCAAATATAATTATTTTCCATAAGATGTTTACTTCATAAAAGTAACAACGCCCTGAGTTTAACTATAGTTAATTGGTAACTTTAGATATTAAATTATACAGGCAATCTACTACAACAAGAGTATCACTGCTAATACTCTTGTATGGATAACATCATGATGGAAAAAAGGTTGTTTGGAAAAAAGGTTGTTTGGAAACTCGATGATGCATCATGTTTTGTGAAAACTAACATGATGTTTATATTCATGTGTGTGGGTCTGTGAGTGGGAATCAATATTTATGAAGTTCCAATTTTTATGAAGTTCTTACATGTACCCTAATTACCAACTTCTTTCCTCCTAATATTTAAACATTAGGGAATCAAAATCCAAAATCTTTTATATAAAATCTGAAAATTATACATACTGATACTATAAAATACTGGTGTGATGATCTTGTAGAGAGCACTGCCCATTGAACTCTTAAACTTGTGGTTGAGTCCATTCAATCACCCAACCACCAGGCAAGCTTATGATGAACATAAAATAAAAAACACAATAAATCCGTAACTATACATGATGAACATACCTGATGCTACACTTTCAGCAAGTGTGTCAAGCATCACTCTCACAAACAACAGCATTCCTCGACGATGCATCACAGCCGGGAGTTTTATGCTCAATGGCTTTATTAGGTATTGATGGCATTATTATCCCTTGCAGAGCATGTAATAACTACTAAATTTAAACCCAAGACACAAGGATGTCAATTTACGATAATAAAACCAACTCATGGACTACTAAACCAATACAAAATTAATCTAAAAGCTAAAAGCTAAAACCGAAAATTACAAAAAAACAAAATTATACAAATCAAACCATGGTTGCATTCCAATTCTCTGTGAAAAATAAATCTCTGTTATAAATTATTGGTAACCATACACTCCTTTTCTGGCCTTATTAGAAGATGGCTACCGGGGCTGTTGGGGCATTGTCCAAAGTGCACGGAATAACTTCCCTGTTTTGTGGTAGTAAAAAGTGAAAGTAATTCATATATTGGGGTTTTTAACATGTTAAAACTCAGCATAAATGCTTAAGGGTCATGGTGGGTCAGGGTTTTGGAATCATGGAGGCCAATTTGGAATTTGGTTATTGCCCATGCAGTTAACTTCTTCAAACCATTTAAAAGGTCAATTTTTAATCCAGGTTTCAATTTTTGTGTTATTGGTTTTCTTTTCATTTTTCTTTTTGTTTTGCACTGTGATTACTTACATAGGATACATATAAGTTTCATTGTTTAAACTGTATGTTATGCCAATGCATTTATCAATTCCATACTTGCTGGCTTCATTACAACCATATCCAGGACAAATAACATAAGCATTCTTTGTTGAGTTCTTCTTGTTTTTGATTAGTTATGTCAATGGAAATTAGCTTCTACTATCAAGTAATATTTTTATTAATTTTATTTTTTATTTATAGTTGATGTTTATGCAAATTTATGTATTTGACTGATTCTTTTCTTCTTGGTTGTTTTCATTTTTAGCAGGGAGAAAATGTTCGGGTTGACTTGATTCTAGAATTCTGAAGACATGTTCGGCTTTATTTTACAGACATGTTTGACTTTTTTTTTACAGACATATTGTTAGATATCCATTGATTTTATAGTTTTATTGTCAAATATCAAAATTACATGTCATTGATTGAGAAGTTTAGCTGGGGGACGATTCATTTGACTTGGTGTGGTATGATATATGATTAGTTGATTTTGGAGTTCTTGGAGATATATTTGTCCATTTTATTTTCAGAAAAATATTTTTGCAGATGTATTGTTAGATCCTAAGTAAGCATAGAATAGAGATATGTATGTCTTGTTTTTAAAGATATGTTTTACAATATATTGTTAGATATAGCACACAGTGGCATGCGATTTTTAAAAAACACAGGTCATGTTTAGAGAGTTTAAAAAGGGTAACCCAAGAGTTTGCCAAGTATCTATAAAGTGTCCGATATTATAAAATTATTTTTAATTAAGAAACCTTCATGAAGTGTTAGGCACGAAGTCGCAGTGTCTGACACAGGTGTTTGGCACGACCCAACAGGACACCTTTAGAGAATTCAAAGATGTTAATTTACATAGGTCAAGTTTAGAGAGTTTAAAAAGGGTCGCCTAAGTGTTCACCAAGTATCTATGAAGTGTCTGATATTATAAATTTATTTTTTAATTAAGATACCTTCAAGAAGTATTAGACATGCTTTTAAGAGTGCCTATGAAGTCTCGGTGTGTGACACGGGTGTTTGACACGACCAAACAGGACACGCCTACTCTATAAAGTGTCGGGGCTTCTTAGATTAGATCTCAACTGGATTTTACAGTTGTATTGTTAGACATCAGTTGTTCAAACAGAAAAATTTGCTGCCACCATCCAATTCTTTAATTTTTTGGACTTTTTTCAAATTTTTTATTTTTTATTTCAAGCCTAAATCCAGTCCCAATGCTATATTTTTATTTTTCAGATCATATTGAAGATGTCACATTGTGACATCAAGCCTAAATCTTCCTCCCATTACCACATCTCAAATCATAACATCTGAATATTTATCTGGCAAGGTAACTATGGTGGATGAATGTTATATCAGCAGTGCTGGGGACCCCCAGCACCCCCACCTCCACGTGGGGGGCTGTGAGACCAAGACTGCAAAAAAAATAAAATAAAAAAAATTTAGTCCAATCAAAAAACAGTGGGGGTGGTGGGGGTCACCCCCACTGGTGGTCTTACTCTTTTTCCATGTTATATACATTGTTATGAGCACACACAATATACATTAAGGCCATGTTTGTTTGATTAGCATTTTTAGAACTCTTACCCTATGATTATGTATTCCTTCTAACTATGGTGGATGAATGTTATATACATTGTTATGAGCACGCACCATATAAATTAAGGTCACGTTTGTTTGATTAGCATTTTTAGAATTCTTACCCTATGATTATGTATTCCTTCTAATTGTGTTCTTTATTCCATATTTGGATTGGCTGAAGAGTAAGAGGAGTAAATGACAAAATTCTATCAATTTTGGAATATTAGTCTGAACATCTTCTTAACCTTCATTTTGTATTTCAATCCCTCTTCGATTCAATAGTACCTATTATATGGGGATACAATGTCTATATTGACAATTAGTTTAGATTCCAATTTTTCTTAGTCAAACGTGTGAATATGTATTTTATTGGATTATTAATCAAATCTCAAGATCATGTCTCCCAAACAAAAATAGTCATATTTGATAGTTGGTTTAGGTTGATTGGGGTTATTGTGTATGGGGTTGAGTGATGGGGTTACTAATGTGGATTAAGTTGGAGGTGTAAGATTAACTGTGTGTGTTTGTTAATATTTGTTTGTTTTAGTTGGCTGGGATTAAATTAAATTACATAAAAATTCTTATTACATAAACAGTGACTTAATTGTTTCTGTAAAGTGAGGGGACAAAAAAACAAAAAAGCGTCTTCTAATCAGCCAAGGCTAGAACATGAAGGCCTCATTCTGGAGGAAGCTTCGAGAGAGAATGAGGATGTCTCTAGCCTCTGTTTAATCGGAAAAGTTCTAGCTCCTAAAACCTTAAATAAGAACACAGTCTCTAACATTATCAAGGGAGCCTGGAAAATTCGAGGTCAGCTCTCTATCTCACCGTGGAACGATAATGTTTACCTTTTCCAATTTGGAAATAGTGATGACCGTGATAAAGTTCTTCGGGATAGTCCATGGTCAGTTATGGGCCCCCTTCTGTTTCTTTAACCCCTCCTAACGGCTCAAACAATGGAAGAGATGGATTTCAAATGGTGCCCATTTTGGGTCCAGGTGCATAGTTTGCCCCTCAACAACCTCACAAAACAGAATGGTGAAATTCTTGGCAATCGAATAGGGCGGCTGATTCGAGTAGAGGCTCACACTGAAGGATTATATTACTCTATCGCAATTTTCTCCAACTTCAGGGTGGAAATTGATAGGCAGTAACCTCTTCCCAAGGGCCTTATCACTTCAACGATCTCAGGAAGGAGGTGAGTCTTAACTTTCCTTAAAATATGAAAAACTTTCTAACTTTTGTTATGATTGTGGACGTCTTGGGCATGAGAACTCCACCTGGAAATTGTAACCAAAGAACAGGGGGCTACTTCTGGTTATGGTCCTCGGTTGCTTAGTGGTGTTGCAAATAGCATTGGTCTACCCATTGAACATGATTGTGGGCAAGTCAATGAGCCTGAAGTGAGGGTCAATGGTTTCATACCAGGGCAGAAGTTACCCACCGAAGCTCAACCTGTAATTCCGGCTGCAAGTGAGTCTGTGACGAATGGGCATGCCTATACTACTCCCACGATGGGTCTGAATCCACCACCACGTACAAATACGTCCACACCTGATACGGTGGCACCAGGAGGAGTGGGAATCCCAGTGCCAGTTGTCCAAACCATTACTCCTTTGTCTCTTTCAAAATCCCTCTTGGGTCAAACGGATACAACTAGTGTTTGGGTGGGTAAACATGACAAGTTGATGTTGATAAGGCCTGACTTAGGCCTAGACCTCCCCCCAACCTACTATCCAGAAACACTTACCAATCCCTCACCTGAGCCCACCCAACCTCCCTCACCCCACAACCTAAGTCTTAGGCCAAACCACCCCTCTCTTCTCAACACCCAAACCCCTAAGCCTGTGTACTATGTTACTAAACCACCAGACAGCCCACAAAGTGTTTCAACCCATTCATGCACTGGATTTGGAGGATCATACTCATGGGCCTCCATCTTTGTCTTTGCCCAACCCTCCTCTTGTTATCTATCCAAAAAACCAGTCACCGCTTGTTGATTGACATCTATCGTTTGCCCTTGACCGTCTGTCTCTTAAACGAAAGGGGAATGAGGTAAATGATCTACATTCTCTAATCCTATGGAATAGAATTAATAATAACATCCCCATAGAAATCCTAATATCACCCTTTTTTGGGAATTCATAGTCATAAGCTTTGTTAAATAAACTAGAGAATGGGTGCGTAGCTATCTAGAGGTTGGACTTATCAAACATCAAATTTAAGGACATATAGACTTGACAAAAAAAGGGTTATTTTAAATTTTAATCTATTAGGTGAGATAAAATAATGTTATATGTAATATATAAGGTTAGAGAGGCATTTTACTTATTTTACATATATTATACAACAATATATACATATAATAATAGTGTTAAACACAAATATATAAGAAGTGTCCAATGAACAATATGGCACACATATCTCACATCTTTACCCCCAAGTGCCAGGTTTGTTATTTCATTTATTTTGAGTCCATATGACATAGGTCATATGAGACACCAAATTTTATCTCACTTTTCACAAGCAAACATGATCTACATAGGGAATCAGGATCCTCTCCTTGCGGCCTCCGTCCTTGCGCCCGTCCTTGCAGGCCTTCGGGTCTACTTTTAGACCCAATTTTGATAATCCGAATCATTCATATTTTATGATTTATTCAATATATCATACCTGTAAAAAATCAAGTTGATCGGATATCAGAAAGTATGTATTCGAAAAATTGAACTAAAAACTATTTTTTAAATAATTTAATAAACAATTTTCCGAACACATGTTTTTTGATATCCGATCAACTTGATTTTTTACAGGTATGATATACTGAATAAATCATAAAATATGAACGGTTCGGATTATCAAAATTGGGCCTAAAAGTAGGCCCGAAGGCCTGCAAGGACGGGTGCAAGGACAAGACTGCAAGGAGAGACTCTTGACTCCTATATAGGATCATCGGTTTGCTAATTTAGGCCAAGTTTGACAATCCAAAATAAGTACACACTTTTTATCTTTTTTTCATCATATCATCTCTCTACTTTTCTGCATATCTTTTCGTTGACCTATGAAAAAAAAAATCTATATAGAGCTCCAACTTACAGAAAGTCTTAGTCAGTATGCCACCATTGCCGCATAATTCCATACTCACAGTCCCAACTACGTGCAGCTACAATAGTATTGAAGTGTCTCCTTATGCATTGCTTACACATCTGCATGCAAAACTATATTTGAAACATCTACGTAGTATTGAGAATAGAAGTCCATCATGTCCATATACAATGAAATGCTAGATTTTTATAGACTATCTACTTTACAAAATAACTCTTATTAAATGCACATGCCACCAAATATGATTTAGGTTGTGTTTGGAGTACTGATTTAGATAGGAATTTAAAAAAGGAAACAGAAAAAGTGTCATTTACATTTCACCTATTTTTCCCTTTTATCTTTATAAATTCTTACCAAAATCAATACCCCAAACACAATCTAAATATCCAGAAAATGAACTTATACCATCATTACTTGAACAACCAAACATGTATGGCTGCATGTGCGCTTAATAAGATTTTAGTAAAACTATTTGTGTTCGTAACCTTATTTCATTTTTATATAACACAAGAAGGGGTCATTGCAAATGCCAACGCCTATGTTACATTGAAACAGGAGCAGGTGCATATTTACATATCAGATTCTATCAAATTTTAAATTCAAGGGTACATGAATTCAACAAAAAGGATCATAATTTTATGTTTTTAATTTAATATATTATGTGAGATAAGATGATATTATATATAATATACAGTCAAAAAGACATTTTATAACAATAATACAACAAATTGATGGTGTTAAATATAAAATATAAAAAGTAACTAATGAAAAAAGTCAGACACATATCCTATACATTTATCCAAGTGTTAAGCATAAGACATGCGTATTTGATTTTTTATGATGAATTCACGTAACATAG